GGGGGCAGCGGGAAATTCAAAATTTTTTAAAATAAACGGGTTTTCGGGTTGACCCGCCGGGTCAACCCGAACCCGACCCGTTTTATCAAACGGGTCGAATCTGCAAACCCAAACCCGACCCGTTTATCAAACGGGTCGGGTCCAACCCGGATTTTCTGGGTCGGGTCCGGGTCAGATTTTCGGGTCGTGTAAAATATTGACACCCCTACACATACCACCCATGAATTGGCCTAACTAAGTAAATTTGTTGAAAAGAAAAAAAAAAATCAGACAAATGAATTAGCTACCATATTGTTAATTACTAAAACAACCTTACTGGCATAATCTCATTTAAAGAAATAATTATAGTTAAGCACATTTAACTTCATTTGATGGGTCTTTTCGACAAATCAAAAAGGCAGACTTGTTTATTGGGCTGGAGATTTGTTTTTGTGTGTTTGGGCCTTTTTTCATGGCCAATAAGAAGGCCCATATTGTACTAGAAGCTTGCAAGAAAATTAAGGGGATTTAAATAACACCATATTTACTATTTAACTATAATTTGCCGGTCTCCATGACGGTTGCTTAAGCTTTTGCTTATGTATTTAGCTCCTATTAACCTGAGTCTGGTTCTGTTTGCCCCTTTCTTTTTGAGTTTCTACAGATTTTTTTACTTGTAATTTTGCTATCAACCCTGCAGGCTTGATTCTTTTTGTAACCTCTTTAACTTAATATACGGGTTCTGCCCCAAAATTCCCCAAAAAAAGAAAAAACTATATATGGTGATGCAAACGAACATAGTGTTCAACAGATTACTCATGACTCGACTTAATTATAATTTGTTTGTGATTATTTGATAAATTAATAAAATAAGCATAAATATTATTTTAAATATCTCAATTGTTAAATAAACAAGTTTGAAAGAAAAATTGTCTAGTCAGCCACGCAGTGTTGTGGTGGCGGTTTGTATCTCTAGTATGCGTGACAACGCCACAAAGTTAGATCTTGAGCGCTGCTGTCTGTCCTTTTTCAAAGAGAAATATATAATATCAGGGCGCTCAAAGTTCACAATAGGGACGCTTGGGTACATAACTCCGAAGCGCTCGGGTATCCAGCACCAGGGGCCTTTTATAGAAAAAAAATAGAGCAAAGCACCGAACCCAAGCAAGGGGAGTAAACTATGCATTTAAACAAACAAGAAAAAGAAATGTAGCATAATGTAAAGAACATAAATTAATGTGGAAAAACCTGAAACCGATAAAAAATCACATATCCACACCATACCAAGAACACCACTATGAAAATTGGGAGAATTTTGTACATATCTCTCTTCTATCTCTCTCTCTCATTACTTCTTTTCCTTCTTACATCGTTCTTAATATAACAAATAAATAGAAACAATTAATACAACTAAGAGGCGCTACCCTTAAAAAACGAGAAAGAAAAAATGTCCAAAGGGTCTTGCAGCTTTGCAGTTCGGTTTGGAGCATCACGATGCTCAACACTCTATCTCTAGTTTGACTGACAACGCTACAACACCAAATCTTGAGCGCTGCATTGCTCTGCTTTCTGTCTTTTCTCCAAGCGAACTATGCAGTGTCGAGGGTGCTCGAGGTATAGAACACTGGGGTGCTTGGGTACCCAGTACTGAGGGCGTTGTATAGCAAAAATTTTGTAGTGCAAAGCACTCGAACCAAGGCAAGAACACCAATATGAAAATTGAGAGAATTTTGTACATATCTCTATTCTATCTCTCTCTCATTACTTCTTTTCCTTCTTACATCGTTCTTAAACAATAACAAATAAATAGATACAAATAATACAACTAAGAGGCGCTACCCTTAAAAAACGAGAAAGAAAAAATGTCCAGTTGGTCTTGCAGCTTTGCGGTTCGGTTTGGAGCATCACGATGCTCAACACTCTATCTCTAGTTTGACTGACAACCCTACAACACCAAATCTTGAGCGCTGCATTGCTCTGCTTTCTGTCTTTTCTCCAAGCGAACTATGCAGTGTCGAGGGTGCTCGAGGTATAGAACACTGGGGTGCTTCCTAACCCAAGCAAGGGGAGTAAACTATGCATCTAAACAAACAAGAAAAAGAAATGTAGCATAATGTAAAGAACACCATGAATTAATGTGGAAAAACCTGAAACCGATAAAAAATCTCGTATCCACACCATACCAAGAATATCACTATTAAAATTGAGAGAATTTTGTACATATCTCTCTTCTATCTCTCTCTCATTACTTCTCTTCCTTCTTACATCGTTCTTAAACAATAACAAATAAATAGATACAATTAATACAACTAAGAGGCGCTACCCTTAAAAAACAAGAAAGAAAAAATGTCCAGCGGGTCTTGCAGCTTTGCGGTTCGGTTTGGAGCATCACGATGCTCAACACTCTATCTCTAGTTTGACTGACAACGCTACAACACCAAATCTTGAGCGCTGCATTGCTCTGCTTTCTGTCTTTTCTCCAAGCGAACTATGCAGTGTCGGGGGTGCTCGAGGTATAGAACACTGGGGTGCTTGGGTACCCAATACTGAGGGCGTTGTCCCCCAAAAAAAAAAATTGTTCGGAGGTCTGTGGCAATAATACAACCTGATTGATAGACACAATCATATTCCACACGAAGTAACATTTTACACCCAAAATGAATGTTATTGACCATGTTAGCTTGCATAGCCACTCACCCCTACCACTTTACATGAACGCCACAAGTGTAAAATTCATCATCTCCTTTCTTTATCACCTATTATACACCGACACACCTACTTAAGAAGGTATGCAGTGTCAGACATGGACACGCGTCTGACATGGATGTGATACATATGTCCAACACGGCTGAAACATCTCGGATTAAAATAATATTTAAATTTAAATGTCCTAATATTTTCAATGATGTTTAATAAAAAAATTAAAGTCTTTTAATTAAATAAAATGAGCCAAATCGCGTACATCTAGGTCATCCTGTATCCTTTCGTATTTGAAGTAATTTTTGCGAGTAGCCGAGTATTTTGCATTGTCTTCTTCATTTACACGAGCAGACGAGGTTGGAGCAACTTAATATGCGAGGCGAGGCTGAAAGAGAGTAATATGCGAGAAAGCGAGGCTGAAGGAGCTTGCATCTTTTGTCGTCTTGCTTATTTTCCGAAAGCATGCGAGGCCGTATGTGCAATTAAAGGTTGGTGTTCATCGTCTCTTCAATTCTGCAAGCAGACGAGGACGTACAAGCGTCGTACACTTGATTGAAGCTTTACCAATCGTCATCTTCGTCATTTCCACGGGTGACTAGGGCATCTGACTCATTCGATTGTGTCTGCATTGTCGAAATTAAGTTTGTGCGTATGCTACGTAATTTGACTTTGAAGATGTAGGATGTTCTTTAATTATTTTCTCTTTTTAATTACACAATCTTCTTTATTATTCTAGTGATTGTTCTTAGATTATTCCAAGTGAATGATGAATGACATCCTCAACCCTCATCAACTAATGATCTAAGCTAGGAATACCATATGATCCCAAATGCTAGAAGCTCTTTTGAGTTATAGGATTAAGGTTTACAAAACCATTTAATTTGTTGAAGCTCTTTATTATTATTATTATTATTAAATTAATAGTATATTATTCATTATTGATTATTTATCCCAAACTTTACCGTTGATTTTTATACATAATAGAATCTGAGTTTTGCATGCCTATGATAACAAACCATCAAAAACTTCATCTTTTATTTTAGTTAATTTTGTTATCATCTTGCATGCATTAGTATAAGTTCTACACATATCCTACTACATTAAGTCAGTATTGCAAGCATAAGTTGCATTATATGGTCTCTCAATATGAAAATCCTCATTAAGTTTATTTGATTGATGGACAATATAATGATAGCTTGCTTGTCCTCAATATGCACAGTGTAAGTTTATACTCTAGCCAAACTTGATGATGTTAGGATAGATAATTAATTATGATATTGATTTATTATTGATTGTAATTTCTAATATGATGTTATATTAATTTTTATATACTATTTTAAAAAATTATAATGTCGTGCCTATGCCGTACCCATATCCTATATTTTCAATGATAGTCGTATCCCGTGTCTGTGTTGTGTTTGTTTCTCTGTGTCTGTATCGGTGCATCATAGGTCGTCACTCTCCTGTGTGAATGCCATTAGCCATCTTAGCTCGCAGAGTCGGCCACCGACTTTGCCAATTTGTGTGAACGCCACAAGTCTAAATTTCAGCGTCTCATTTTTTGCGATGGAGTTCAATTGTTGAACTTATTGGAGGCATTCTCATAGGATAGCGAGGCGGACAACTGAACCAGTTGAGATGGCCGACATCATTTGCACAGATGCACGAGCATTGCTTGCCTCAAATGCAGAGACACGTTCGGCTTGTTAGGCCAAAGGCTTTATTTGATACAACTTTCTTATAATTTTCTAAAAATATTTTTTACCACAAAATTTTTATTTTAAAAAATTTTTACATTAAAAAGCTGTTTTAGAAAACATTAAGAAAGCTGCCTCAAACAAATCTTTAGTTAAGTTATTTGTTAAAAAAAAAAAGATGAACTAATTTTTCATCTTCAATTGGTTGCAACACACCAATAATTAATAGTTCACACTATAAAAATTTCATTTCTTTAAAAAGATGATAAAAACATAAATCCTATAAAAAACATATAATACTAATACAACCTCAAAAACATATCAGAAACACAAAGCTAACACAAACAACCTTAATAAGATATACTAAAAGACCTGATAGCTTCTATCAACTGAAGCTTTAATAACTAAAACTTGATCCAAAACTTGCTATAATTAGTTGGTTTTCCTGCAATTCTTTCTGATCTCTCCATTAGTACCAGTAAGAGGGCTTATGTCTCCCATCTTTATGATTGCAGCAACGAAATCTGAGCTAAAACTGCTCGGGCTGTTGACATAGCTCTGAACCTGGGAGCTGGTTGAGCCATTACTATAGAGCTGCTGATCAGAATGAAGTAGACCTTTCAGGCTAACAAGGTTCTTATAATAGTTGTTGTCGAAGCTCGTCGGCGTTTGTAAGTCTAGCGGTGCGATGTTATTGTCGCCGGAGCTGCTGGGACAATTCCCCTTCCTCAATTGCGCGAACGACCTGTCAATGTTGGTTTCGTTGTAGATCCTTGCCCTGAAATTGGTGCACCTGGCTTGTCCTATGGTGTGGGCTCCTGTTTAATTCGTGTTATGTTAGTATAAGTCGGAAGCCAACACAAAAATTGTCTATCCTAGGCCAGTTTGGATGGCTTTCTTACTGTTTTTTAAAGTAACTCTTCAGAGAAAGCCGTCCCAAGCGAAGCCTTATACTTGGATAAACATAATGAAGCTACTATTGAGCTGAACGCGATAAAAACTGAAGGAATTCGAGCTCGAACGAGGTTCTATGAGAGATGTACCTGCGAGGGCAACCAAGTCCCTGGTAGAGAGACCCTGAGCTGAAAATTTGGAGATGAGATTGCTAAGGCTGGAAGTTGCAGGTGGAATGTTGTTATTAGCTGCACTTTGGCTTGCAGTTCTGGAATCCCTTCTGCCTAATTTCACACTCCAGGTTGGTCCTCCAAGCTTTAAAGCCAAAATTTCTTTATAATTAGTGATAAATATTTTAACTTAATCACCAATTAAACGTGTAATTAACAGTACTTACAATGACTACAGAGTCTCTTGCTGTAATGGCTAAGATATCAGCACAGGAGACAACACCTGGACAAACATTCTCCACAGCAGTTTTAATCCTGTCAATGACTTCGAAGCCTCTCGCAGAATTTTTGTTTGGAATTGCGTTTTTCTCCCCGGTGAAGTTTGATGTGTCGTCAAGAAACAAAGAGGCATCACAGCCCTGAAGCAAACAATAGTAAATTAGCTTTGAAAAGCAGTGTTACTGTGTTAGGAGATAAGATTAAAGTAATTTAAGAAAGTTTGGAGATCTAATGGAGTTGGACTCTATAGGGGAATGATTAAGCTATTTTTAAACTCAAAAGGTTTAAGAGTTAATCACAAGTCTTTTTATATTATTATATTTTATAATTATTTGACAAACTTTGACTCTAATTTGTACTACAACCTTAAGCCTATAGTTAACAACCAACTACCAATATTTTGGTAGTTGCTAGGCTAAATTCAATAGTACACCTATGCATCTTTTCCGCATCTATATTCATTTGAGGAGGGGAAATTTTTACATGCAGAGTTCGGTCGTTGTTCGGACAACAATTGCATTCAAGTACAAGCGACCTGACTTCTTCTCATTGGAGTCCAGATCCGAGTTACGTCTGGACTCTGCATGTAATAGTCACTCCGTAACGAGGGCCTGAATCATATCTAAGAAGCTCTTGATTAAGAACAAATTTGAATCATTTGCAACATAAATTGGACTACTATTAAATCATCTATAGCCTCACGTCGCTATCTAGAACAATCGCCTCATAACTAAATCACTGGACTCACTCAAGGAACTCGCAAACTCGCCCAATATCAAAACTACTCACCCTCACCAACTAGCCAAAAGTATTTTGAACTAACCCTTAGCTACAACAAGTTCAACCTATTCATTTTCTATGTAATTATACTTTATTACCAATATTATAATATGAACCGGGCTCAAACCTCAAAAGAATGTGTTGCTCTAGCTCGGCTCAACTCTCTCTTCTCTCCTTCTCTGAACCTACTCAATTATATAATAAATTGCGAATAACTTACATTCACAAAGCAATCATGAAAGAAGAGGCGAAGAAGGGAAGCACCCATTCTTCTCTCACTCGCTATCGCCGACTGAACCACCGACCGAATGGTGGAGAAGACATTAGGACAAGAACTTCCATAGAAATTCGTGGTGAGCTGAGCAGAGGAACTGCTCAAAGAAAGCAGAAGAAACAGAGCAATGGCACTGTAACGAAGTGAAGAAGAAGCCATTGATAAGCAGGAAGAAGTATGCTTGGCACGAGTACATAACGCTTGACGTTTGTAGGTATATATAGACCATACGAGGGTTGAAGAGTAGAACAGAGAATTAATTGTTATTTGTAAGGTGGAAGAAATGGAGGAGGTAGGCACCTAATCTATGAGAAAAAATTTGAATTTTGATTGCGGGCAACGTAGAAAAGTGAAGTATTCACACCAAGGTGTTTGAATAAATTACACAGGTTGATTTAACGAGTGGTTAGAGAGGTATACTTGTCAGAAGTTGAGCTTAACATGGTGGATGCTCTGTAATGGTCAAATTGAACTATAGTCGTTGCGATTTTTTTGGTATTTTGATGATATTGCTGTGAAGTTTTTGGACCTTAAATATTCCGTTAAAGATGACTTTTTTACTTTTATTGTTTCTTAAAATAATTTTTTTTATGAAAATTAACTGGAAAGTAATTTTAAGAAGCACTAAAAAAGTCATCTCAAATTAAGCTTAAGAATTCATTTGGGACGGTTTTTTATTGTTTTAAAAAAATATTAGTAAAAAACTTTTAATTTTTATGCTAAAAAACTGCTTTAAGAAGCAGTAAGAAAGCCGTCCAAACAAAACGTAAGTATTAAGAGAAGAACTTTACTTCCATAAAAATGGTAGATTTTGTTTTGTGTTGGGGGATTTAGGAGAAAGCTGTACAGAATTTATAATATAAAAGGCTGTGGATTGAGTTTTACTTAAGTAGTTAAAAAATTGCTTTCAATCCAGAAGGTTAGGTGAAGTTTGGTATCATTTTTTATTTTTTAGTATTTTTATTTTCTACAGAAAACATGTTCGGGTCAACCCGAACCCGAAATGGGTCGGTCAACCCGAACCCGAAATGGGTCGGGTTCAAGTTCAACAAATCAACCCGTTTTAAAAATCGGGTCGGGTTCGGGTCGACCTAGCAACTCGAAAGTGATACGAAAACTCATATTTGATCCGAAAATCCGAGATTGACTCAATTTTTACCGGTTTTGACCCAAAAAACGAAGATTGACCCGATTTTTGACTAAAAAATTAGCAATTTTGGGTTAAACCCGGGTCATCGTGTCAGGTCGGGTTCGGGTCCATAAATTTGAACCGTTTTTAAAAACGGGTTGGGTTTGGGTTGACCCGAATAGTGCCGGATCAGTTCCGGGTTCGACCCAAACCCGACCCGTAGACCCGAATTGACACCCCTAGCTCATTCTACCACCTATATCTTACACTTTGGGATTTTATCTTCCTTGTTTATAGTAATCCATTGCAAAACTTTTTTTCTTTGAAAATTTTTCTTTCTTCAAATCCCTTAGATCTACCAAAAGAAATCAAAACAATTTCAACATAAACAAGTTGTAGTTGAAATACATCGATAAGAAATTCATCGTTGATTGTCGATCATCAAATTACATTAAATCAATTTTTTTTGCTACATCAATTAATATCAGACCAAAAAAAAAATTGCATAAATAACTTTAAAAAAGGCATCGGAACCAAACTATGATGGTTATATATCCAAATCATAGCAAGAAGGTATGTGCAATTATTTCAATTACTTCTATTATGTTTGTAAAGTCAAAAGATTTAAATTATATAAGATGCAAAAATTTTGCTTAGAGGATGCCTCATAAACATAAATATTTGCCTTTTGAATATAAAATTTTCCTTGGCATTGATTTAATGTCATATCAAATTATTGAAAAATATACTAAGTAATTCTTCTTCATCTATGATTTTAGGGTTTAAGATGAGAATATGAATTTGACCACTAGTAAATAAAGGTCAAATTTGATCTCATTTTATCTATATCCTTTAATAAGTGGTATTAGAGCTATAGTTTGCTGAGATCGAATGTTACAAGTACTTTGTGAATCCTATGGCTGTTTGATGTTTTGTTTTTTTTTTTTTTTTGTGGGTAGTTGGGGGGGG